AGGAACAGGGAGTGCCGTTGGACGACCAGTTCCTCTGCCGCCTGCTGTGGGCTCGCTCTCAGACACTCCGCCCAGACGAGAAGGTCTTCCACACGAACGAGACGACGGCGGGCAGGGTCTGGCGCCAGATCCTGCACGAGAACAAGCTGGAGTTCGTGGGCCCGATGCACACCCTGAGGCACTCGGGGCCATCCGAGGATGTTCTGATGAAAAGACGGGGCCTGACTGACGTGCAACGGCGCGGACGCTGGAGCCAAGCCAAGTCGGTCCAGCGCTACGCGAAGCCGCACGCCCTGATCATCCACCAGAGCCAGGTTCCAGAGGATGTGCGGCGAAAAGGTGAGCAGTACCAGTGCAATTTTCTTGCTGTACTTCGCCGAGTGCCGCCGTCCCACAGGTGGAGGCCCGCTGTCCTGCGCTGCCTTCAAAAAGAAAGGGGGCCCTCGACCGAGCGGTAAACGCTTTCGCAGAAAAGTTGTCTCCGGGTGGTCGGCCAGAGGCGCGTTTTTATCCGGTGCCCCCCGTGTCTTGATGGGCCGCTGTGCGCCCGCCACATCTGATCCACCCTAAACAGCTTTGCTGTTCCCTCTTGCCTCTCTTCCCTCGCTCGGTCCTCCCGCTGTTTGGGGTCTCTGAATTTGTACTCTCACTGTGCTCCTAGCGTAAGTGCGTCGATGGCGCCCCCACCCACCCCAAGACGTTGGACAATTAACCCTAAAGACGATACGGGATACGGGAGGCTCTGCAGAGCTAGATTCTTTTGGACATGTGTTTTTGATGCTGCCGCCGGGGTCAGAACCTCGACAGGGCGGCCCCTCTCACGCTGTCCAGGAGTCACCCACGTCTCGCACGTGATTGGCCCAATGAAGAAAAAAAGCGCCTCGAGTGGAATGAGTGTTCGCTGAACGGGTTTTCCTCTGGTGCTCTGGTCGTGTTTCAGGCCGCCAGTGAAACCGACCCTTCTCAGTCGAAAAGGGTAGTTTTTCGTCTTCGGAGTTTCTAATGTAAGATGCCCGATCCATGAAACGTCTGGAGTATAGCTGTCTCGGGATGCCATAGATGTCGTTTCAAGGGGGGGCATCATCGCTAATCAACTCTACCCTGCAACCGTTGTTGCTCAAGGCTTTTCAAGCTCCCACCGCTCCCACCCTGGGAGGCTCTGCAGAGCTAGATTCTTCTGGACATGTGTTTTTGATGCTGCCGCCGGGGTCAGAACCTCGACAGGGCGGCCCCTCTCACGCTGTCCAGGATTCACCCACGTCTCGCACGTGATTGGCCCAATGAAAAAAAAGAGCGCCTCGAGTGGAACCCATCTTCCTCTACTTGTTCTTACCTCCTCGTTCGTCCTTCATCGTCCGCCTCCTCATCGTCGTACTCCTCCTGATGCTCATCGTCGTCCTGCTCCTGACGTTCCCAATCGTCTTCCTCGTCGTTCTCACCATCGTCCGCCTGTCCATCCTCCTAGTTCCTCGCATCCTTTCCAAGCAGGGCCTCCAGGAAACCCCTGCTTGGAAAGCGCTGCATCTGCAGATAAGGCCCGAGCCTTCTACGTAAGAAGTATAGGTACTTCTAAGAAGCCTTCCCCCCGCCCCCCCCCTCTGCGCAGACCGTCGCTGGTTGCGTCCCTACGTGGGACCCCTGGGGTGGGAACCGTCGGGGACCAGGACGCGGCAGTGAGTGCCTGCGCGCAGAGCGGCGGGACGAACGCCGCGTCGTCCCCCCCTCATTCCCTATCCCTCCCCCTCCTCATCCTCCTGCTCCTTCTCCACCTCCTCCTCCTCCTGCTACTACATCTCCCTCTCTCCCTCCTCCTCCTCCTCCTCCTCCTCCTCCTCCTCCTCCTCCTCCTCCTCTTCCTCCTCCTTGTCCTCCTCCTCCTTGCTCTCCTCCTCCTCCTCCGTGTCATCCTCCTCCTCCTTGTTCCCCTCCTCCTCCTCCTCTTCCTCCTGCCCCTTTTCTTCCTCCTCCTCCTCCTCCTCCTCCTCCTCCTCCTCCTCCTCTGGCGTGGCTTAACCTGCACTGGTGTTGGAGCTCTCTCAAAGCCATCCTTGGCCACGCAGGCCCTCAGTGTTCTTCGAAGCATCTTCGGACGTCTGGGAAGCAAATGTGGGCCGCGTGGGCGCCGCCTGTGGCGTGTTGAGCGCCGCTGCTAACAGTGGATGGCAATTTGGGCGTCTGTCGGGGGCTTTGGGTTATCTTGGTTCGTCTCAGGGCCGTTCGGAAACCTCAGGGCCGCTTCGAAGGCCGTCTTTGGGCCCTCGGGGGCTCGATTGGCATCCTTCAGGGGGCGCCTGAGACGGTCCTGGGAACTTTTGGGACGTCTGAGAACGCGGAGTGAGCCTCGCCATGAATGAGTCGGACGACCGATCTCCCCACAGAGCTTGTCCACAGACCGAATCACGGAAACGACAAGGGAAACGGTCGGAAGACACCTGGCAACCTCCGAAAACTCGTCGGAAACCAGCGTTGACCTCTCATGAAGTCTCCCACTGCACCTCCGCAGGATTCCGCCACGCTTCCCCCGGCGGCGCCATCCTCGTTTCACTTGCGTTGGCTTTCGCCGAGGGCGAGACACCTCATATTGGACCCTTTATACACCTCAATGGCGCACGGCGGATCGGACCAAAACTGGCATCCAAGAGTCAGATCGGGCAGGAATCATAGCTCCTAATTTGGCCAGGCCTCTCAGGGGCCACTGGCAGATGCCCATGGAATTCCTGGCCAAGCTTGGAGATTGCACATCACTGACCCCTCCCGCGAATTTGACGCGACGCTCATGACTTCCGAACCCGCCGGCCTGGAAGGCGATGTGATCTTATGTTCTGGGCGCAAAGGCAAGGCGAAGTGCAACACTTCTGGCTGATTGAAAAGCGTCGGGCCGGGCCTCCCCTCCGACGACCTTCCACACGGCATCTAAGGCAAGGACAATCCGCCAACCCCTCTGGGTGTATGCAACCACTTCCTCCCGAAATCTCCTCGGCAGAGGCGGGCAACTCGCCTCATTCATGCAATGCCCAGCTACCCTCGCCCGTTCGACAGGTGGCCCCGATTGACATATCTGCCACTGGCAACAAGGAGGGTTGCACTCACCCCGAGTGTTCATCCGACAAGTGACACAGATTGTCAAATGGGTCATCGGCGACAACATTGACAGGATATATCTAAGCCCAGGAAAGGAAGATCTCGGGCGAAATTGGTTAAAAAACCTCAAGTCTGGGCACCCCCGAAACACAGTCCCGACGATCTCCCAAGCGAAAAGGACCAGGACCACGCGAGGTGAGGACCTTGGTACATGAACCCAGAGTCGCAAGGAGATCTCAAGCGAAACGAACAGTCCACGGCAGCTGCAAGCCCAGACCAGTGAGAAACGAGATCGGATACAGTGAGGCAAGAGCATCGACTACCCCAGGATAACGAGGATGCATCGGGCGAAGATGGCTGGACGAGCTCAGGCCAGTTCGAATCCGAGCCCAGAGTTGTGACAAAGTGTGAAGCGAACCTAAGTGGACCAGCTCAGGTCAGGCCATCCATGGGCCCTGAGTTGCGAGAGTGTGGGAGGAAAAGCTGGGTAGACCTCTCGCGTGCCTCGAAGCCCACAACTGCGCGAATGACTCAAGCCAACAGGGCGGGACCGCCTCAGGACAACGGCGAGGATGTCGAAGCGAAATAGGCTGAACTATCTCTCGCGCGGCATCTCCAAGCCCACAATTGCAGGAAAGTCTCAGGCGAGACCGACCAGACCGCCTCACAGGCGGCACCTCAGAACCCAAAATAACGATGATGGCTCCGGCGCCAACGGTCTATCGCGATTCCTTGTCCAACCCCATTCTCCCCGTTCCCCTTCGGGGATGGGGTCATCGCTGCTCCTGGATAATAGTTACAACCTCGCCCAATCTACCGACCGCTAAGCTGAGTCACTGCCAGCCCCCACGATTCCAACCAGTCGCTGGATAGGGGTCGGCGGCAGAGGCGGCAGCCTTTAGATTTTTCCCTGTCACTGTATGCTGGTGTCTCACTAAGTGCTGTCCAGACTGCAAGCTATCTGCTTTAGGAGCGCACTGCGCACGGAATAACTGCGGGAACAGGCAACGACAGATCTGCACTGGACAGGATGCAGCGTTGCGGTGGTCCCGCGCCCGTGCCGATGTAGGGCTGTCGGGCTCGCTAGGTGAGACGTGCAGAATGGCAAGGAGGCGAGATACAGTCACAAGTCTGCAGCCAGCCTGCTCAGATCAGACGGCAGCCCAGGTCTCATCAAACCCTGCTGCCCTGGACAGCATGCGACTACGAATCCTGCACTTTTGAAGAACAGTCAACAACGAAGGCGCAGCAACGGAGTTGGGTCCGGCAAGCGCGACCCGAGAAAGTAGAACTCCCCACTCCCTTCGCAGCCGATCGTCTTCTGCACGCTACATGATCAGTCGCCTACTTGGCGACTCGGATACTACTTGGCCGCTCCGCGGTTGGGGCTTTATTGGAAGCGTCTTGGACCCTTGTAGGGGCCTCTTGAAGGCATATCAAGCCGTCGGGAAAGCTTCCGGGCTGTTTGAGATGTGCATTCGGAGTATATTGTCTTGGGCCGTCTACAACGCGCCCCAGTCACGAACTGCGACACGAACAGCGACGCAAACTGCGATAACGCGGAAAACCACGGGGGACCCAATAAAAAACACCTCTTGGGTATCGCTTGTTTGTTATTTTTCTCTGTCGCTTCCCCAGGCAGTTCCAGTCCACAGCACGCCTTGTGCGGCCACGGCATTTGTGCTCAGCACTCACAGGCGTCGCAGTAACGCTTCACGGCTACGCGCCAGGCTGCAGCACAAATGACGCTATCACGCTGCGGCAAGGCCTCCTCACCCCAGGCGGCCCGCACAGCGCGATTCGGTGCAAGTGTTCCGGGGGCGCCCCCGCTTTCGCTTGAAGCTCTGCGACGCTAGCTTGCATGAAAAAGGGCGTAGGACAGTGCATCTGACAAGGGCATCAGCTGACTTTCGGATCATATGCCCAGGGAGCAGAAGCTGACGACTCAAGAGAATCGGAGGTTGGGGTGTGTGAACGGAAGTGACCCCAACCGGGAAATCGGTTTCGGTTTCGGATCGTGTCGTGCGTGCGGGCGAGGCGAAGCTGCGCGAATTTCTGAACTTGTAGAGGCCACATGGTCATCTGTCCCCCCCCCCTCGGGCGCGGCCCCCGATGGTTGTCCCGCAAGTTGTCATGATGGTGGTCCCGATGGTTGTCCCGATGGTTGTCAAGATAGGTGTCCCGATGGTTGACTCGATGGGTTTCCCGATGGTTGTCCCGATGATTGTCCCGATGGGTGTCCCGATGGTTGTCCCGATGGTTGTCCCGATGGTTGTCCCGATGGGTTTCCCGATGGTTGTCCAGATGATTGTCCAGATGGTTGTCCCGATGGTTGTCCCGATAGTTGTCCCGACGGTTGTCCCGATGGTTTGTCCTGATGGTTTTCCCGATGGGTTTCCCGATGGATTTCCCGATGGTTGTCCCGATGGTTGTCTCGATGATTGTCCCGATGGTTGTCCAGATGGTTGTCCCGATGGTTGTCCCGATGGTTCTCCCGATGGTTGTCCCGATGCTTGTCCCGATGGTTGTCCCGATGGTTGTCCCTATGGTTGTCCCGATGGTTGTCCCGATGGTCGTCCCGATGGTGGTCCCGATGGTGTTGTCTCGACGGTTGTCCCGATGCTTGTCCCGATGGGTGTCCCGATGGTTTGTCCTGATGGTTTTCCCGATGGGTTTCCCGATGGGTTTCCCGATGGTTGTCCCGATGGTTGTCTCGATGATTGTCCCGATGGTTGTCCAGATGGTTGTCCCGATGGTTGTCCCGATGGTTCCTCCCGATGGTTGTCCCGATGCTTGTCCCGATGGTTGTCCCGATGGTTGTCCCGATGGTTGTCCCGATGGTTGTCCCGATGGTCGTCCCGATGGTGGTCCCGATGGTGTTGTCTCGACGGTTGTCCCGATGCTTGTCCCGATGGGTGTCTCGATGGTTGTCCTGATGGTTGTCCTGATGGTTGTCCCGACGGTTGTCCCGATGCTTGTCCCGATGGGTGTCTCGATGGTTGTCCCGATGGTTGTCCCGATGGTGTGCCCGATGGTTGTCCCGATGGGTTTCCCGATGGTTGTCCCGATAATTGCCCCGATGGTTGTCCCGATGGTTGTCCCGATGGTTGTCCCGTCGGTTGTCCCGTCGGTTGTCCCGACGTTTGTCCCGATGGTTGAAGCGATGGTTGTCCCGATGGTCGTCCCGGCCTGGGGACTCCCGCTGTCACTTTTGATCTCCTCAGGCCAGCGTATGAGAAGGACGAACAGAAACCAGTGATTTCAATCTCATCGGGTGTTCGAGATGTATCAAACCAACCCGCCCAGGCCACGGGCGTGCTACACACTCCACCGGCCTGCGAGCCGCAGCTCCTGACCCAGGCCGGAGGAAGACAAGCTTCTGATGGCCGCGCCCGGCCGCCTTCGCAGGCGGACGCGCGCAAGGCGGCGGCGCTGCAGCGCAGAGAAGAGACAAGAAAGAGGAAGGGGACGAGGACGAAGGGGGAAACGACCGCTGCGCACAACGCGCGGCGAGAGCGCACGGGGCGAGGCGAGGACGCGGCCGCGGGACGTGAGCCACCAGACCCCGCCGTTAGGCGCGCGCGCCCGCGCCATGCATGCAGGGGGGCCAGGAGGAGGAAGAGGAGGGAGGGCGAAGAGGGAGAAGGGGGCTGACATGTTGAAAAGAGCAGCAGCTGTCACTCCACAACGTGGCCCCGCAGACCTTCGAGCGAAAGTCTCGAGCGGGGAAAACAGCTCGACCGCCCGCACCATTCGTTGGTTTCAGGAGCCTTCGCAAACGTGGCTTTCAAAACCATACGACTCAACGATTACCGAAACAACTAGAAATCTGGTCATGGAAATCCGCCGCCGGAAAAGGTGCCACGATGCCGAACGCCGCCCGATGCATCTCAATGGAAATGTTTTCCAATGTTTGCAGCTGCGCAGGACTGAGACATTCAACTGCTGACTTGTTTGTGGCTCTAACGTTAAGACTTGCCATCTCTGATTCCCGGAACAGGGCACAAGTCCTCGAAGCTCCGAGGTCATCGCAAGCAATGTTTCCCATCAGAGAAGAATCCAAGTTGCGCATTACTACGTCAGTAAAGTGGGCCGCGTATCGACTGTACACAGACGTCGAAGAAGCATTTGCTGCGTACTCCTTCATTCTTGAATCGGTCAACCAAAGAGCGAAGCCCGGTTTTGAACCACCTCCCGCATACCTCTGCCGGTAGACGCTTGCGATCCAATCGTAGAAAGGCCGATAAACCACGACGATTTTAGTAGCGACGTGGCTTAAATCAGAGGCGAGCTGCGCGATCCGCGTGCTCCAAAGGCCGAACCATTCACTAGACATTACCACATTATGGGGAGAATCCCTGAGATGGTCAACGTACTCGATCCAATCCAAACATGTTCGGGTTTGATTTACAGCCAACTCAGGATACCAAAAATCGCTCCACTCATCGTGAGTTTTCCCAGTATAGCACATAGCTACGTTGGCGACTTGAGTCTTCACCGCCGCCGCCGCGCCTGTACCCGAACTCCCGAATTGACGAGCGCGTAGATATGTCCAACCGTCTTTTGCGAGCACGTTCGCGTGCTGAAATAATTCGCGTTGAACTGTTGTCGTAGCAGTCTTTGGGGGCCCAACGTGAATTACGACAGTTGCTCCACTCTTCTTTGACCCAGCATCTTCTGCACCCACTGCAAGTCTATTAATACGCAAGTAACCAAACAATATGATCCTACTCCATGCTTGCAGCCCAACGGGCCAGAGGCGTGCCAGTAAAATCTCCACATAAAGGCACAATTAGCCAGCCCAACGGGCCAGAGGCGTGCGAGTAAAATCTCCGGTAAGAGTCTAAGAATGCCTCTAGTTCGCGCACAGGTGGCGGGCCCTGGGCCCCTGGACGGAAAGTACCCCGGCGAGGTCCCGGCAGGCTTCCGGCAGGGCAGGGTCCCGGCAGGTCCTGGCAGGCCTGGATCAAAGATGCTGCAACTCCTGGGCGAAGCATCGAGTGCCCCCAGAGCGCCCCAATGAGGCGCCAAATGGGTGGCAGGTCCCATGGCCTCAGGCGTAGAGAACGTTTCAAGATGGCCCGAGTTGATCCCAAGACGGCCCGAAAAGCACCCAAGACGCCCCAGGAGGGTTTCCAAGAAGACTTCGAGACGCCCCAGAGACACCAAAATCATTGATTTCGCTGGTGTTGTCGGACGATTTGGGCGGCACCGCCTTTTCGGGCTGCCGACCGCTCTGGGCTGCCCAAGAGACCACAAAGATCGCCCAAAGACAGCCTTAGAGACCCCAGGACGGGCCCGAGACAACCCGAAAGAAACACAAGACGGCCAACGAGGTTTCCCAGAGGGCTCCCGAAGCTCAAGCGAGCGCCCCACGAGGGGGAACTCGACCCGATCGAGCCTTCCCCGAAAGTTCGCACCCACGGCCGCCAGCAGGCGCCTAGATATGCCTCAATATGGCCCGAGTTTGTCACAGGACGGCCCGAAAAGCGCCCAGGACCTCCGAGGAGGGTTCCAAGAAGACTTCGAGACGCCCCAGAAACACTAAAATCATTGATTTCGCTGGTGTTTTTCCGACGATTTGGGCGGTACCACCCTTTCGGGCTGCCGACCGCTCTGGACTGCCCAACCAAGAGGCCACCAAGATCGCCCCAAAACCGCCCAAGAGACCCCCAGACGGGCCTGATAATGTTCTGCTAGGACAACCCTGCACTCCGTCTGGCCTCCAAGAGACCTTCCGCAAGCCTATTAAACTATCTGGGCGAGTCTCGGAAGTCTGCAGCTCTCTTGAACCATCTTGCAGCACCACCAACCAACAGGGATGCGAAATGTGCCGGCGGAGTGAATGAAGCGATTCAATGGCGCAGAGGCAGGTAACTCGTAGGCGACCGAAGGACGGATAACTCAAGTGATCGTGCACGTGAGCCAAACTTGAGCCAACAAGCCCATGGAGCACGCATATTGAGCTTCTTGGGGGCCTCTTGGGCAATCTTACGGCGCTGTGAGCGTGTCTGACGCCGCTGGAGGTCGTTACTTTTTGCTGTTCTCTCTTTCTCTCTCTTCCTCTCTCTCTCTCTCTCTGTCTCTCTCTCTCTCTCCCTCTCTCTCTCTATCTCTTTCTCTCTCTCTCTCTCTGTTTTTTCTCTCTCTCTCT